TGGTGGCACAATGGGGTAGGATGCAGCACTGCCAGCTAGCGGAGTTGCTTCAGTGAGAGTTTGATCTCCAGCCCCGGAGGTGACCACATGATGTGGCAGACCTCTCCTGACCTGCCCGCTGCTCCCCTCAGCAATGTACCTTGTCAGTCGGCCTGCTCTGCTCCCCACTCTGTGGCTGGTGAATCCTCTCATTGTCCCTGCACCTCTGGCTTGTACCCCAATTCTGTATGCATATTAAAAAAAGAAAGACCAACAGGTTAAATATTAAGTTAAAAAAAAAGACACAAAAGCAAACCAACAACTTGGGGAGTTCAAGATGACTTGAAATAAAGCACAAGGAATCCCACCACCATGATACAGCCCTGGGTTGGACCAGAACAACTCAACAGGTCTCCAGTTCATGAAAACTGCAGAACCAAGTATGTTCTGGTGTCAAGGACGGAGTCTGGACATGAACACACATACCTGGGTTGATATCACGCTTGAGTCTCTGAGCAGGTGCTGGTTTGTGGCTTGGGCAGAAGTGATCTGTCCTGGAAGTTGCGGGCTGGCCGAGAGCGGTGGCTGGGCTGCCGAGGCTGACCTCTGGGGGAGCTGTTGCTGGGCCTCAGGCCGCGGGGCACTGCTGAAACTCAGGGACACTGCTGGCTGCTGCAGAAACATCTGGAAGCAGAACAGGAACGCCTTTAAGGTGGGATCACCTATGCCTCCCAGGTCTTCTCTGTTCCTGTCCACGGAAAGAGGTCCACTCTCTTGATCGCTCTGCCCTGCCCCGGAATAGTTCACTTTCTCAGCATGGAGTCATGGATGCCTGTGATGCCGCAAGCACACTGCAGGGCCTGCAGTCAGAACAGTGGGCCTGAGAGAAACTGCCCTGCCTTCAAGACAGCTGCAGTCTGGCAACTGGGGGCTAACAGTGTGAAAGACGCTTCGATCCCTGAGGTCTATACCAACTGGATGCATCTGCGTGGAGTCTAGGCTGACACAGCAGTTTCTTATTAGAAGGGAGAAGGAAATGAATGATGGCAGAATAGTGGCAGGTGGCTGGCCAACCTGTGGCCTGGCTCTGTGAGGGTCCTGGCAAGGACCAAGCCCTGCGCCCAGGTCTGAATGTCTGACCAATGACCAGGGGTTGGTACTCAAATGAAGCTGGGCATGTCAGACCTAGAACTTCTGGCCATGCCAGCATGTCTGCCACTCATTAGGGGGAAGGCAAAGTGGAGGTGGTGTGACACAAGTCCATCACTTTAAAATGATGGTTACAATCAGCTTTCTAGTCATGTGAATCTCTGTGCATTTTGTTATCTAAGCTGTCTCAGACATCTAGGTTGACTATGATATATTATTAGCTTGGTGATTTTAATTTGAAAGGTTTAAGAGAATTCAATCAAGTTTGTAAAGTATGTTGAAGTATTTATGAGAATTTTGACTTACCTCACTTATAAGTTTGGTGTATTGGACTTAAAAGAATTGCTTAAGTGCTTAGGAAAATTCTACTTTTTAGGTTCATAAATCTGCCTTGTTAGATATATGACATTTTTGAAAGAAAGATATACTAAAAATTCAAATTAGTGGCTTTGTGTAGATAATACTGATTAAAACAATTTGTGAAATTTATAGCCTAATTTGACAGAAACAAAAACAAATAAGTGTATTGTTATTTCTAGACCAAATGAAGAGATTTGTAAATAAATTATGATCTGTAAATTGACTCTAAAAGATTAAGAAACAACTTTAATACTTTTAATAATAATTTAAATTTAAGGCCTATAACAAAAGCTCCTCTTGGCATTACAGATACTATTAATATCAGATTCTTGACCATGTTCCATTCCATTCTGGGCTTTTAGCTGTGAGTTGTCCAGAAGGTAGCTTCTCCTTCCAGTATCTGATTTTTTTAATCCCAATTTCTATCATTAGTGCAAGAACAACCTCATAGCTAGTACAGAATCAACATGCTAACACTGCGGAGTGGCAGGGGGTCCTGGAGCGGCGGACACAGCCACAAAGGTGGACCCACAGAGGAGCACCCAGAGATTGGTTCAGTCGTCGGGTTCCTCCATGGGGTGAGCACTGCACAAGGCCCAGCGTCAGTGGTGGCAGAGCTTGGACTGGGCTCACATCTAGTGTCCTTTCCATCTGGCCCCAATCTCCCTATTTCCCTTCATACCCCGACCCCGGCAGGGAAGCCTACAGTTTTGAAGAAAGCTCTGCCACTTAAATTAGGAAGAACTTTCTGGATATCCATCATCTCAGATTCAGGACCCATTCAGTACAGATTCAGTATGAGAATAAGCACATTGTGCAATCCCCTGGCTCTTATCCCCTGGCTTGCTTAGAGCACATAGGCTAACCTACTTTATCAACTCAGCAAAAACCCAATACCAAATAACATCCTTTGGGGGGGGGGAGGTAGGGTACAAATTATCTTTTGATTAGACTTCAAATAATTGTAAACTTTGTTTACTAAGGCAGTACAGTTTATCTTGAATCAGGAACTTTAGCACAAATTACAATCCTGCCATGTACTAGCAGTATGGACTTAGGCAATTTTCATTAACTTTTCAAAGTCTCAGTTTCCTCATGAATAAAACAGAGATGATAAAAGCACACAGCTAATAAAGGATTTAATGAAGTTTATGTTGAGACATCGTTATTGTAAGTGCTCAATAAATGTTAGAAAATAACATAATATTTAAAATTAATAAGGGAGACTTTTGCTCCCTTATTATGCAAAGAAAAGCAAACAATTTCTGCTTATAGCATATCAGAGATTCCTTTGTCTGCTACTCTGTCCACTGATGTATGCTCTTTGAAGGTAGAAACACTATTTCTGTCCACAGTGCCTAAGCCAGTGCTTGGTACATAATATTTGCCTGGTGGAGGGATGGGATAATGGGTGGGTGAATGGAATGGATGGAAGATGAATGGAAGAAAGGGAGGATGGATGGGTGGATCAGCACATGGATGAATGAACACATGGGTGGCAGGAAGGGAGGATACACGAAAGGATGAAAGAACTGATAAAGACACATTTGCCATGCTACAGGTGTCTGTCGAGACACTAAGTAGCCAGCAGAGGGCGCACATGCTCTCAAAAAGAGGGAGAGGCAGCTTTCCTGGACTGCCGGGTAACAGCCTTTCAGTAGATCTGCTTTCCCCATGGACCCTGGTCCGTGAGATCCACACAGGTGCCGACACCTGCCAACATCCCAGAGGCCCTCTCCTCATAATCAAATCTTTAAAAAAAAAAAAAAAACAGCACTCAGCAGGTATCACAGGAACACACTATAAAGCGCCACACTAATAAAGTAAAGTAAGCAAAGTCTACTATGTTCAGAAAAAGACTTCTGTGTGGGGCAATCCTGGTTTGTGGCTGTGCACACCCATAACTGTTTTACTGTCAAAAAAGCAGAATTTCATGGCTTAAGAAGATAGTTTTTTTTTTTTTAAAGAAGCCCCGAGGTCAATTTTATAGGAAGTACGAGGAAAAAAATGAGTTTCCTAATTCAAGTGGAAAAAGTTATAGAAAAGAAACTTCTCATTTTCTAGAACAAACCAAGCCTATGCTCAAAGAGGCTTACCTTATCTGCTTACTTTTACAAACGCTTCCTACAGAACATTTCAGAAGTACACAAAGTAGAGATATTGTTAGTGAAACACCCTCTGTCACCACTAGGCTCCGTTAATTATCCCTGCTTTGCCATTCTTATTCCATCTATTTATGTAAAAGAGTGGAATTTTTACTTGCTAATTCTTCATGCTTGAATCATAGTTTTTTTTTTTTTTTAACAACACATTTGGGCTGAATATTTTGGATGCATTCTATAAATCTTTAAACTTGCAAAAATATAAGAAGGCAGACAGCTTGAGGAAATGGTCTCTGGTTTGACACTCTGTGGATTTCCATGTTCTTTGGAAAATTCCATGACAAAGATGAAGTCATAAGAATGAAATCAGGGAAGGAACACACTGGAGACAATCTGTGGGCTTGATTTCACATCATCTCTTCCAGAGCTCAAGTGCGCTTGTGGCTTATGTGCTGTGGAGGTTAACAAAATGCACTGGTCTTAAGGAAGAAAATAGCATTTCTTCATCACAAGGAATGAAAGATAGAACCTTGTGTTTGTTGCCTGTTATTTTAGAATTCGACTTCCATGTTGAAAAGGCAGGCAGGAAATAGAAAAAGTCAGGGCTCTGAGGAGGATGTTCTACGCCTACCTTGCTTTTAGCACTTACTGGCTCAATTTCCCCCTTCCTGTCAGTGTAAAAATTCCATTCAAGGAACTGGGACTCAGGCAAGTTCTAGCAGTTGGGCCCTGCACCAGCCAGAGACTTATCGCTGGGGAAGAATCTGTTAAAAGGGGACTGACACCTGGTGGCTGTATTTCTTGGCATGTTAACAGCTGCATCAGTTTCGGGGGTATCTTGGAGCGGTACAGGGAGAGCAGCAGGGTTCTGCATGTGGCCAGGCTTTCTTAGCAGAGCCTGTGGGACACTCCGAGGGCACAAGTGTCTTGGGGGGAGCAGAGTGGGGAGTGTGTCTTTGCTGGGATCTGTTCTCCTTAAGTGAGGAAAAAACTGTGGGCCCGGGGCTGTGGGAGGGCAGTGAGGGCCTGGAAAGTCTTCCTGGACAAGCCCCAGAGAGCACCCCGAGGCAGGATGCCTGCACTGGGGCCTCACTGCCTGCCACTCGGCACCATCCTGCTTTAATTTCAGCTCAACACTCACCAGCCTGTTCTTTGAACGGGACCTCTGTGCCCAGCGCCCTGAGCGTCTGTGGGCTCCAGGAGCTGTGTCTGTGTGGATGGGGAGGTGGGGGAGGGTAGAGACTATTCTCTTATTTCCCCAGGGATCTCTTCCACTTCCTCTGTCTCTCCCAAAAGGGTTGCACATGCCAAGAACTCTCAGGGCTGACTTAAGGTTAGCTAGAATTATGTTTGCAATTAAAGGTTGTGTCAAAAGAATACACACTGGCCGAAAAATAGTCTGGGGCTGATGTAGGTGAAACGTGGTAAACATAACTTTTTATGAAAGAGGTCCAATATATCCAAAACTTCTTCCTCCAAGAAGACTCTCAAATGGACTCAGAGCAGTGACACCTGGGGGAGGGCGTCTTAGTGAAAAGCTGTTCCTGTCAGAGCATGTACCGTCTCAGCTGCCATGCCACAAATGGGGTGGCCTGGAGGCACCAGGCTGCTGACCTCCAGATAGCCTCTCGGGGTGCAAGTACAAAGATCGTCATTTCCCATGTCCCCTTGAGCCATGTTTTGGACGAGATGACACAGAGGAGCCTGACGGAGCCGTGACAGCAAAGTCACACAGGGTGCCGAGCACTCATACCGCCTCTCCGCGCCCCAGGATGGAGCCAGCCCCGGGGCCAGGGACCCACCACCACACCCATGAGTGAATGGAGGTGACACAGCAAGTATGTGTGTGCTGCAGACCGAGGGATGAGTGAAGAGGATGCTATGAGGATAGCAAGTTTGGCCTGCAGGAGGGTCGAGGAGGTGGGGTTCACTCTTGGGCACTGTTGAATGTGTTTGTAAGTAGAGAGACTTGGAGGAAGCCCTGTCTGTCCTGAGAGGGTGGACCCATTGCAGATCTGGGGTGGAGGGGTGAGGGGGTAGAGTGAGTGCCCTGCTCAGGAAGGGGCATCGCCACCTGGACGTTGGAGTCCTGGACCAGGCAGAGCTGCTCCTGGATCTTGTGGAGCTCCTCCTGCTGCCACCGGATGTTGGCCTGCAGCACACGCGTCCGCTGCTCCAGCTGGTCTTTGATGGTCTGGAACATGCTGAACTGTGCTGAAAACTTCAAGGTGGAGTCAAAAGACATAATGAGATGAAAAAGTTATTTCAACCTTGCAGACAGGTGTTGGTTGCTGCTGTTCTTCGCGACCCTGTCCACTTTCATTTTCCATCCCACATCGCCCTTTTTACAGCCCTAATGAGTGCCCCACTGCTGGAGAGCTGGGCAGTGCGAGGGGCCCGGAAGAGGCTGGTCATCCAGGGGTCCCTGTGTGAGGTCCCTCAGGCCCATCGGAATGCTCAGGTCTCCTTGACTGCACTGTGGCCTGGAGGGGCACAGAATCAGGACAGGACTCTAAGCAATGCTTATAGGCGGGTAGTCCAAATTTGGTCAGACAAGTAGTTTTGGTGGTGAGTGTCAGGAGGAGGACATTCCCCGCTTCTTTCCTATCTAGGGCATCACAATTGCATGTGACAGCTTTGTAGGCAATTTTGGGACCCATCATCCTAAATCTGATCCTGGCAAGTGGGGCTCTCTGTAAGAACTCCCGAATGAGCTTGAATTTGGGGGTACTTTTCACTGAAGCCTGGGGCCAGGGAGGCCTTTTCATTGCCCCTCACTTTCTCAGGCTCGCTTTGTGGTGATGTGCTTCTTAGAAAGCTACACAAAGAGGAACTAAGGAGAATAACAAGACAATCACCTAACATTTCCCGAGGATAACACTGGCAGAGGATGACCTTGTTGGGGAGACATGAATATCTGCTTTGCACAGCAGTGCTGTCTCCCCTTCTTTGAGCTTTTCTATGCCTCCCTGGGAGGGAGGGTTGACTTTGGGACTATCTTGCAGGTGATCTCCAGGTCACCACCTGTCTGTCTCAACACAAGGTTTCTTCTTGCAGGAGACACATGGTTAGTAAAGGGATATAGGGGGGTGAGGGGAGGAGGGTGCTGACCACTGCACTCTGGATTCATCCCATTTCTTCAAGAAAATGAGTTTGATGCACTTGGACAGATTCTATTCTTTTTTCCCTCTCTCTTCTTCTCTCTTAATGATTTAAACTCCATGCTTCCAGTCTCTGTCTCAACAACCTGTTTCTTACCCACTGTCTCCTGCAAACTCCTCCTCCTCTCTTTTCTTCTGACTCCTCTGCCCTTTGACCCTTCCCCTAACATGTGGAAAAAAAAAAGAGCCTAGAAGAGCTTAGAACACACAGATAGGCTATATTTGAGGATAAAACAACTACAGCTTTTGGGGCAAATTAAAGACCAGCGAGACCAACAATGGCAGGTACTGCCTGTTTCTGAGACAGAACTTGGCAGTCTTGCCCACATGAGCAGCAGTGGGGTGCTCGGACTCCACCCTAGAGAGGTTGTGACTCCTCAGAAGTCACACAGCAGTCACAGAAAAATATGAACCCTGAGTCAGGAGCTGAGTGAAGCTGAGACGTTTCACCCCTCCCAGCCCCAGTCCCATCTCAACCAGAGTGCTTTTGACATCAGACTTCTTTTAAAAGAAAGGAGCTGTGTTAAGTGCAAGTTTAAAAATATGCCCATCTGAACCACAGAAATCTCAATTAGAATGTAACTAATCAAAGCACTAGGCTGGGATTCTGAAAAAGAATTTGGTGGAGAAAGAAAACAAGCTATATCAGGTATTTAACTTAAAAAAAAAAAAAGGAGAAGAAGAAAAGACACACAGAAGCCTTTGTGGTGGGTTCCCCTAGGCAGGAAAAGTCAGTGCTCTGCCTCCCAGTGCCGTGGAGAGTGGGGCTCTGTGAGTGCTTGCTAGCTCCCAGGGCAGAACAGCAAGGAGAGCTGGGCACCCCGATGGGGAGGGCCCAAAGGCTAGTTACCGCTAAATGAGCCTCACTTCCTCTAGGCACACAGGCCCCTGGCATTAGTCTCTTATTACAGTCTTGACTGTGGTCTTTTGGATAAGGGCATCCACTCTAACGAGAGGCATTCTAGTAACACAACAAGGAAGTCAAACCACCAGTTGTGCAGGCAATCAATTCCCAGAATTTGGAGGTTATCTTCCCCCTTGTCCTGGGCACTCTAATGAGAACATCCAGAGTTCAGAGAAAACTGGAGAAGTCAGTGTGTCACCTGGGGTAGACAAGAAGAGCGGTCTGCACGTGAAGGTCAGCACTACGCAAGAATGTCTTAGAGGATATGGCGATTAGGAAACACAGTCCACCTGATAGGTAAGAACTGTACGATGAATGAAAATGAGGTTCCGTAAGTAAACAATCAGAATTCCGAAAGGACCTTCATCATCTCCTTATGTATTGTAAAATATACAAACTCTTTACTAGCAAGACCCAGATGTTTAAAGTAATGCCCCTTTCATGTGTCACTGGGTTGGAAGAGTTACAAATTTCATACCAATGTGCCTTGAATACTCAAAGAGGAAAATGCTCTTGCAGCTTTCTTTCCTACCTCTTGGGGATGCACAGTTTTTATTAGTCGACTGTGTGGGTAGGTAGCTTTTAGCTCCACACTCAAACCTGACTCTAGCAAGGAGCATATGCTTGCAGGTGTCTTTCTGTTCTAGGAAGCCACCAGAGCCCACTGCTAGCAGGCATATGTTGGGAAAGGGTTTCCTACAGGGTGACAGGTCTGCCCCAAGACAGATGTTTACACTTGGCAAACATGTCGCCAGTGGCACATGTTGGTGACCCATCACCTGGGATTCCTTGTGGTCAGTAAGTGGGGTAAAGCTAAGGGCCTCTGAGCTCTCCCTGGTGGCACAATGGGTTAGCACTGCATTATGAAGCACCCTGAAGCCACCATAGTATGAGTTCGATCCCCGGCCAGGGAGCTGACCCACTTGGCGCGGCAGACCTCTTCCGACTCTCAGCAGTGTACTTTGTCAATCTGCCTATTCTGCTCCTCACTCTGTCTCTGGTGAAGCCTCTCACCTACCTCTAGCCTGTACCCCAGTTCTGTAATCATAAGTAAATAAATCTTAAAAAAAAAAGCTAAGGGCCTCACAGAGGAATTGGTCCGTGCTCAGGGAAGCATGTGCAGCCACAGTCACAGACTGAGTGGCTGTATCATTCTGCCTCGATTGCCAGGTCTCAAGCATGTCAGACATTTCCTAAACTCCCCTCTTCCCTACTGACTCTACCTCTCCACCTGGCAACCTCCGATCAAGCCTTCCAGGCCCAACTCTGGTGTCACCTCCTCGGGAAAGCCATGTATTCTATAAAACACACGCTGCCATGGGTAGTGTCTCTGCTTATCTGCCCACCTCCCCCTTGAACTCCAGCACTCACAGCAAGGGCCATGATACAAGCATCTTTGCAGCCCTCATGCTCACTCACTCACTCACTGACCCAAATAGTAACTCACTGAGTGTTGTTGAAACAAGGAAGGAATTACTCAGCAAAGCTGTGATCCTTTTTTATTTTTTTTAAAAACAAATGTGATATTTATAGTACTAGACTCACAGATTTTAGATCCTAGCAGAGTCTTCTTATGATATTTGACCTAATTTAGACCTTTTCTAAAATATCATGGCCAATTTGGAGTCTAAAAAAAATGAGAGCAACACGGAAAAGTGGCAAAGAGGTGAACAAAGACTATTAAGAAAACTGAGAAACAGACAATGAAGAAGAGGACAGGGAGGATGGGTCTGGAGAAGGATGGAGGAGGGGACAGGTGCAGGATGACGTTCACGGCTCCACAGGGCCACCTGCACCTGTGAGAACATTGGGAGGCACTTTGCCCGGTTCTACCGGGGTTTGGTACCTATGTGCATGGTCCGTATTAGCACCAGTGCCCCGCACACTCAAAGGACTGCCATGCATGCTGTGCAGGGAAGGGCCACCACCAGCTCTCCCTTTCCCTGAGCCCCAGATTCACCTGTGCCATGGGGGTAGGTGGACTCTGCAAGATGGTCTGAGGCAGGAGCTGCTGCGTGAGGTCACAGGACGGTGGGGCCTGCGGAAGAGAGGGCTTTGTTAACAAACACTGCTTCTGCATCAGGGCTGCGGTACAGGGGTGTGGCCGCGGGGCAGCTGACAGAGGGGGCTTTTTTTGATCTAGACTGAGCTCATTTCCACGTAGGATATGGTCCCTGGGGACCCTGGGAAAAGGTCAGACAGCAAGCCATGCTGTGGCCCTCATAGGGCATGGAGTCAGAGCCGACACGCTGCCGGTGAGGAGCACAGGGTGCCGCTGGGCCAGCCTGCTGTCACTGGGCTGCCTTGCCCCCATGGGTTCTGCAGGGCCACTGCTATCTGCAGGGACTGGCCAGCTCCCATGACCTCCCCTTGGTGCCTCCGGTTCTAGACTCTATTCTTGCTGGACTGGGTGGGTCGGGTAGCTCTTCTCTCTAACTGAAAAGTTCTTGGCTATGTCACTGAGCAGAGTGAAGGTGGCTGTGCTATAACTGGCATGGGCTGGGGGTGTGGGCTTTCCCTTTCTGATTGGACAGACACACAGGTGGACAGACACACTGTGCACACCTACAGCCAAGAACTCAACTGGGCAGGGGAGTTGGTGGAATTTCACCAGACTCTGCCTGGAATTTATAGGACTCCTGAGTTAGAGACCTGGTTTTCTGATCACTCGAGTGGGCAGGTGGACAGGCAGGTAGGGTTAATAATTTGTAGAAAACATTAACAATATTCTCCACTTCATAGGTCATTTTGAGTTTTTAAAAGAAAAGGATTCTTCTGTACTTATTCCCAAATTGCCCCTGACTATGAAAAGCAGCCAAAATGGCAAGTGTCACCCAGAGCAACACTGGGGGGAAACGACAGCAAGGGATCTTGTTTAGAATACAAAATCCCAGGCACACGGCTGAACCAACCACTGGTTTTGGCTCTGCCGATCTGTTCCCCAGCACTGCTGGGAGGACATGGAGGCAAAAAGAGTCAGCCTGGACAGCTGGGCCTGGGAACAATGGCAGTCACCACTTCCAAGCACATCTACCAGTGGCCGGAGAGAGAGGGGTCCTTGTCATGCTCTGTTTGGAAAGGAACATGTCACCAAGCCTTTCAAGCAGACTGTGCACAATTCCTACGGTGACAGCAGGCAGGGAGGGGGCACGTTTTGTCCCATCTTCAAAGGGCCCATGAGAGGTTGCAGGAAGGGGTTGCAGCCCTCTGGACATGACCTCTACCATTCTTGGACCCTTCTCTCATGAGGGGAGGGGGTCTGTCTCCTCCTCCGGATGAGCCTGTGACTGCTTTGACTAAGATGGTAAGATGGGGTTTCCAAGATTAGGTCATAGAAGGCCAGGCAGCCTCTGCCTGACTCTCCAGGAAAAAGCTCCCTCTCAAGATAGTTCCTCTGGGAGACCAGTTGACTCAGAGGAGAAGCCAGGGGCATGGAGATGCTTGGGCAAGCCAATGGTGGATGGCCTCAGCTCTGCCCACCTTCAGCCAGGCCAGCCAAGGTGTTGAACATGTGAGGGTAGACAACTTGGGATGTGGGTTTCCAGCCCTGGCTAGTGAGGCCTCTGACACTTGAAGCAGACCGAAGCTGTCTTTACCAGACCTGTTTCTGAACTCTTGGCCCAGAATCCATGAACATGAAAAAACGACTGTTGCTTTATGTCTCTTGGTTGGTTATTACCTGGCACTAGAGAACTGTGTATCAGTGATTCTGCAGACAGCTTACGTGCTTTCTAGAGGCCATTGACTGACGTTCTGGAAAGGCTGACACCCATCAGAGACAGTGCCTCATATAGCAGAAGTACATTTTCGTCAACACTAAGCTTCCTAAGCATTCTGCTGCAGTGAAATGAAATCTAAAGCAGGAAGTTCCTATGCCTGTGCCCCTGGGAAGAGTTGGAGGTGGGACTCCAGGCTTGAGGTTTTGAGTTTTCTCTTTAAAAGTCATTTAGATTTTGTATTCGATGGCTGTACAGCCCTGTTAACTTGGGTAAGGAAATATGTAAAACTAGTTGCCAGTTAGATGACCTGCTGACCACTCCATGGCACACATCCCAGCCTGCCACTCCACACTATAAAGCTCCAAGTAGAATTGGTTCTCTGGGAAGATAAGCGTCTGTCCTGGGCCTTGCAGGCCACAGCACTGTAGCACACGCTGGCTGGGAAGTTTGGGGTGATGCACATACCTGCACTGTAGTCGTCTGGCTGAGCCCTGGCACAGGGAGCTCTTGGCGCAGGGTGGCTGATCTTGGCAAAGCAGTGGCACTGGCCTCAGCTATCAGCTCGCCTGGGGTGGCTGTCAGAAAGCAACAAATGACCTTCCTTACTCAACCTTACTTAACAGCTTCCTTATCAAAAGATCAGTGGCCATGCTGTGTATGAAACTAGGGCTTGAGTGGAATCTCTGATAAAGGAGGCCCAGCATGAATGGAAGTGGTCTCAGGAGCCAAGGAAGTTCTGCCCGCTTTCAATCTGGCCTGGGAGCAGGTAGAGGACCAAGCAAACCATCTCCAAACTCCCTTCCACCGCTTGGTTCAACCACTGGTGCAATCACATCTCTCCCCAGAGTTACTAAGACTGGCTCAGATATCTGTCCCCATATCACTCACTTTACGTCTGCTCTCTGCAGCATGGGCCAGCTACAGTGTGGAGGCGTAGAGGCAGGAAGCTGACGGGCAAAGAAGCAGGAATGGGAAGTACTGGCGACTTCTGCTGCTGGGCCTGGACTTGCCTGTACCCTCCTATGGCCTGGGACCCTTCAAAGAACTCTCCCTCTCCTGCTCCCATTCCACGGGTGATCACCTCAACCCCCTTCTGTGGAGTCAAACTTACAGGCAGGCTCTGACAGGGCAGTGTGCGAGGATTTGTGGGAACTTCTTGAGGATGGGGACGGTGAGTGACTGGTGTTAAGGCCCGAGGTGCCCATGTCAAGTGCATTAAAGTGCTGCTGGGGTTCCAGAGTTGAGCCTTTGTCCTGGAACACAAACACAGAGACCACATTTCAGAACAGGAGTAATGGGAATGAATTGCAACACAGTAGTTCTCCTTAAATAGCTGTAAAAAAAAAAAAATTGAAGTCTGTTGAGAGAAACCTCATAGCTGTTTGAGGATAATTTCCAACATATTCAGGTGGAATGCTTACATGTATGTCATGTGGATGTTTTCAAAAGGCTATAGCTTATAAGCAGTATTTATCACATTTTTTTTTCACTTTTTGTTTTGATTTTTAAAAATATTTACAACTTTGCATTCCCCCCCTCCCCATCCCCAACCAAATTGTCACCTCACTGGCCAGAATCTTTACTTTCTGGGGTAGGTAAGAGGTAGATTCTCGACGTAAGGTTTGCTCATGTAGTATGGTCATATGGTCCCTGGAGTACAGAACAGGCAAAAAGACAGTGGCTCTGGGGGATCCTCTCACACCCTGCACCTCTGCCTGCACCCCAGTTCTTGTATGCATAAATAAAAATAAATCTTAAAACAAAAAAGACAATGGCCTCCTCTCTTCTCACCCTGGGAAGCTACTTGATTCCAATCCCATGATGCCTCTGCCTCCAGTAGAGTGCAAGGAGAAAGCAAGTGTGCCCTCCCAGCTCTGCAGGCCGGCTCAGGGAGCACAGGTGTTTAGAAAACACGATACTTTTGAAGCCAAAGAAACGCTACGATAACTCCCAGAAGCATACTCCCACTCAGACCTAGAAGAAGAGCGAGTTCCTTGGCATCCAGAGGGCCACTTAAGATTGGCCACGTCTGGTGGTCTCAGGTGTTTATCCCCGAGGTGTGAGCCTGTGTGGCTTCTCTGTCTTTTCAGTCATGGCTTCCTTGAGGGTGGAGTGGGCCCAAGTAGGGCTGGGGTGATTAATGTGTGATCTTCAGGCCTCAGCACAAAATGAAATGACGGGATGTGTCTGGAGTTGTCGTTTAACGTCTATTGTGAGACTCTGCAGCTTGGTCATGGAACCTCTCCTAAACCAGACCCTGAGAAAGGGCCCTATGGCCCCTCGCCATTTGTGAAGTCAGCAGAGAAATAAATCCTGGAAGTGACAGTAGGCAATGAGAAGCTTTCACTGTCATCTGACAAGGCCGCACATAACATCCAATCATGGGGATTCACATTTTACTAAAGCATTGTTCAGTGACATATTTTAAATGAGAACAACAACAACAACAACACTGGCCCATTACTACCACTCCTTTGAAAAGCACCATGTGGTGCTTTTACTGTAGAAGGGGTGTCTTAAACCCTGGCAGTCTGAGGTTGTATTTATGTGTTTGTATATACATGCATTTACGAGAAGTTCTACCAGGCTCAGGGATTCCCAAAGGATTATAAACCTCACTCATGAATTTCTGGCTGTGATGGATGGCGTGTCTAACACCTGCCTATTAACAGCTTAATTCCATCCTCGGACGTGCTACATGATGTATTGTGTGACAGAGCACGGTAATAAACACCTCTATAAACACTGACAGGCACGTCGCTCAGGACGTTGGTGATGCATCACCAAACACCGAATCACCACGTGGCCTAACCTGCCACCAGAGCGGACTCTGCAGAACCCTTCTGCTCTTTAAAACTGGTCTCTCTGCTCCCCACTCAGTCCTCATGGAACAGAGCAGCTTTTGTTGGACCACTGCTGCGGTCGCCGTCTCTGGCCAAAGACTTTGGATTCTAGGTCACTGGGCAGCCTGGAACTTGAACCATATTTCATCAATTCTGAGAGGCACTTTCCCCCCACAATTTGGCCTAGCTAAATCGGGGTGTGTCTTTCAGTTAATGAAAACAGATTCTTATTTCACAGATTGACTGGCATTCTCTCTCTTAGTGGGAAATAAAATAATGGTGGGTCTTCTATTGATAGCTCCTTGTTTTGATGATTTACAACACACCCTCTTTTTCTCCCAACTTCTGTGTCTGTTTGAATGAAGAATGACCTTTGAGGAAATGGGCTGTCTACTGGTGGATGGTCTTCCAGTTTCCCTTGAGTTTTCTGAGCAGAGAAGGGGAGCCTGGCTGGAGGGGACGAAATAGGCTGGGCTTTGTGATGGGAAAACTTTTCACCAGTAGAATTCCCTGATATGAAACTGGTTCTGTCATGGCTGCTAAGACCCTCAGACACACTGAGATAGTGCACCCTGTTAATGACGATATGGAGGGGGCTTCTGGGGCAGTAGATTCCTGAGATGCCTGAGTCCTGGAGGTGCCGGGAGGAGAGAGAGTAGAAATCCTCCGAACCATGACTTGAGTCCTTACCCAGCTCTAGAGTGCTAGACCTCAGTGCACTTGGGTGTGTTAGCTAAGATCTCCACGTGCTTCTGGCTTTGCTGGAAGAATGAGGACAAGAATAGAGACATCTTGAGTGATAAATCACTGAGCATGTATCTGAGCTTAGTAAGGGTGATCTGCTGTTTTTGTTATTATTTTTATTAGCATCACAGCTTCTTATTATTACAACTCACAGAGGGTCTGTTTCACCAACATTTGCCTTTAATCATCTGGCAGGGATCGGCCTACCTTTAGCACTGAAGGGTGGATGGCTTCAGATGGCGGGTCTTCCAAGGCCAGCTCCTGCCTCCTTTCCACCCGAACATCTGCGTAACTGGGGGTGGGGGGGTGGGAGGAATCGAGAAACCACAGTTGGAGGTGGGACATGGCAGGATGACAACACTGAAGGCGGTTTCTGCGGAATAGCCACTCCCAGGGTCTCATCACAAAAGAGATCAGTCTTGCTTGTTCAGGGAAGGAGTTTGATTCTAAATTCCACTGATGTGATTTCCAATGTTACATTCAGAATACACTCCCTTCTAGAGTATTTTTATTCCCTTTTTCTTTACTTTTCTCTCATCTCCAAATGTCTAACATAACTGTCTTTGAAAACATATTTTAATTCACAGGAATAGGGTAAAGTCTCCACATATTAGAAAGTCTATTCAGATGCATATGAACAAGTAACACAAAACTTTTAGGCTATTGCAATCTTTAGAAAACTTTGTCTCTAACAAACCTAGAACCAGTTAGACTCAGACCAATAACTAGCCTGTGGACCCACTTTCAAATAATGTGGGTAAGTCAATTCAATGAGGTGATGGCCAAAGTACCCAGCCGTGGCCCTTGCCTCATGTGTGGAGATGTAGCCTGGGGAGGGTGACTGGTTCTTGAGGCCAGGATGCTTGTTAGCTTATTTGTTTACTCTGTTCACTCCCTACTTTATCTGAGAATTTCTTTCTAAGATACAGAGGAAATGCAGATAGTGGGCAGAGTCTAGAATATAAGATATTGATGTTGTCCAGACTTCCCCAGGGGCAGAGGCACCCTTTGGCAAAAGTTTGGGCTATGTGGCAGTGGCTGGGACTGGCCATTGGAGTCAGAAACCACTGGCTGCCAGCACCCAAGGATGGGCTATGAAACCAAGATCAAGTCCCTAAGTGTGGGCACACTGCGTGATGATCAGGGCCCAGCCGAGGAAAACTAGCATTTTTCATCTCTCCTTTCTCCCTGCCTATCAAAGAAGCATGCCTTACTCGAAGCTAATACACATGAGTGTGTGTGTACTAACACATATGACACAAATGTGCATATATACTGGAGACACTATGCATTTATATGTATGTCTACATATACCTACCAAAACGTAGCGTGTGTGTGTAGTATTGAAATGAAGACAAAATGGATGCAATGATATCAGATCCCAAGAACACAGAAGAGAAAGGAAACATGCCTGCACTTTTCTCTGACATTTGTCTTTATAGACACAGCAGGCTTATAATCACCTTGAGCTGAGCTTCAAGGCTGGCTGGAGTTAGGAGACACAAATGCAGAAGAGGGGGGCTACCCACAGGGAAGGGGCCCCTGACAGGGAAGGGGCCTATCGACAGAGATTTCATACTCCAGTTCTCTGGAGAAATGTCTCCATATATTGCTTTATGTAGGAACTACCCTGTCACTGGCCAATAAAGTTTAGACGAGTTCACTTTTCTTTGCCCTTAGCCTTCTCCTTAGCCAGTTAACATTTAACGCTTTTGTTTTCAACTCTGGTCCCCCCAAACTAATAACCTCATTCTCTTTTCAATTAGGAAGGCAAATTTGAGTTTACCTCTTACCTCCTTGCCAACTGATCTGTAGTAAAGTTTGCTTTCCTTTTTCAAAACTTGATTCATGGTATCAGTTTCTGCACTTTGGGTGGTGAGCTCATTGCTCAGTAATATCATATGTATGTCAAGCTGCCATCTATTTGGGATATATATGCATAAGTAAAATGCACAACACATGTGTATCTATTGTCTTCATAGATATTTTACATGTGTGTACAATGCAGCCCTCCTCTTTTTTCTTTGTTTTCCTCAAATGCTCTTCTCTAGATCACTTTAAAACTTCTTGTATTCTTAACATTTCTGCAGTGGGTGGGGGAGGAAGACTGGCTTGCTCCCTCACCTTCTGGAGCTGTGACCTTGCATAAGCTGCTTCTCTGCACTGCTGGCTGTGTTCCCTCCCCTCCCATCCTGGGGCTGAGGGCCTTCCAAGGCCACCCTACGGCCAGGAACCTCCCCCACTGGCAGCCCGGCTCTTTTTCCCCCCAATACTGTCTTTGCTGCCAGCAGGGGTTTTTAAGGCATTAAAAATAAAGGGGAATATGTGTTTGAGTTATTTAGAGGCAAAATTTTAATTTTCTTTTCAAAACACGACAAGAGAAGGCTGGGGGGTGGATGGAGATGAGGGAAAAATATGTAAGTAGGTCAGTGAAGCAGTCACTTACTAAGTAATATCCTGGCAGCCAGAAAGAGTTCATGGGGCTTTCAAAGGAAGGCCCCGAAGGAAGTCTCAGCCCTGGGAGAACAGAGCTGGGTGTGTACCTGGAAGGGAGCTGAGCGCTGGGGAGAGTTCTGTTAACTGCAGAAGGTAGCCCTGGCCAGCTGGAGAATTCAGCTGCTCAGAAATTGGGACCAGCTGAGGTGACTGGGTCTGGCTCAGCTGTCAGGGTCCCCCCCGCCCCCC